GGGCCCGGGCCAGAATACAGCATTACCTGGGTGCAACCCTTTCCCTTTCTCGGACTATGTGTGATTGTAGAATATTTTGTGCACCAGAATGCCGAACAACATAATATAATACATATTATTTGGTTGGTAGCATTGCGTTATTGAATTTGGAGGTGGTCCTTCCATTGAGAAGTTACGAAGAAGGTATTATTCCATGATTCTCACCCTTGTGAAATCCAAATTTGAAATTATGTCTCATTACTTGTTAAAAGATGGATATACACCTAATCTTTCCATCTAAGAATTTTGAGGACTTCAAGCGCGCGCGCGCACATATATATATATATATATATACACACGTTTGTGTTATTTTTCTTAGACCTACTATTCTAGTTTTTTAATGGCATCTTTTGTAACTGAAAATCATAAGTGCACAACTAAACTTCACTCCAAAACAAAGAAGAGAATCCAAACATTTTAGTTTTCCTTTGCAATAATTTTGATTTTTTCTGGAAATCTTCATCAATGATTTAATGAGAAAATAATTTACTAACATATTGTTTTCACAATTTGAGTAAAAATCAATTAAAACTAAAATATTTAGGGGTCCTTTGGTATGATGGATAAACAAAAATAATTCTGAGATAAAAATTTAGTACCGCTTTATCTCGTTTTTGGTTATTAATCCTAAAATAAGTTATCCTAGGATTAAAAATACTACCGGGATAAGTTATACTTGCTAGAGGATGGAATCAGAGGTGGACATATATTGAACAAAGTGGTGTCACGCGTCACCGTTTCGTCGGAAAATTTTACTAAGCATATGTAGTTATACTGCGTCGAAACGAATAATAAATACAAAATGACACCACTTGACATGTATTCATATTTGGCATGTTGGTTAGGTTCCTTCTTTTGCTTTAAACAAATACTTGAAAAGCCTCTTGTTAAAAATTGTAGTTAAATAAAATTGAACTCAAGACCGCTTCTAACGTATGACTCCACACAAATATGCACTAAGACTATTACTCATTTAGAAATGTTATAATTAACGTTTTTGGTTATACACTCTTATGTGAATATCGACACCGTTTATAAGAAATCTTGCGTAGTGGAATAATAATTCTAAGATAACTTATCCCATGATAAAGCATTAAAATTAGCAATTACATAATTAATACAACATATTAAATAATCAATAAAAACAATATCAGAATAATAAATTCCAACATAACCAATTGCAGTATATCTATCTAATCCAAGCATAACTCGTTTACAAACCAAACTATCACTTATAGATCATACAATCAATATACCTGACTTAGGCCCGTTCGACCCTAAAAAAATTTCCTTTTTTCAGAAATGTGTTTATCCATATAATTTTGCAAGTTTTTAAAAATGAGTTTTTCAAAAAATTACTTTTTCAGAATTTTCAAAAAAATAATAATTTCCCACTAACAAAACTACAATATTTTTTCAAGCGAAATGCATGTCCAAACATAATTTCAAATGACAAATACCATTATTCAACTTAACTTCAAATACTATTTTTTTCAATAATTATAATATTTTTGTCCAAACGCCTCCTTGTTGTTTTTTTTGGGTCCCACAATTTGTTTCGCCGGGCCCCGCAATCCTTGTTCAAAAATTTGATGCCAACGAGAAATAAACTACACTACATTGTTATTCAACAATGGAGGTTCGCAGCCATGCTCTTCTGCACATATAAATACAAATATCCAAATTAAATCTAAAACCAAACTCACATTCCCATTTTCATAGATCTAAATACCCAGATTCCTTTTATTGGAATTATCGCCTCTCTGCTCTTGATTTTTTGGCCATGGCAGAACAATTACAGAATTGGGTTCTTATGGTGACTGCTCAAACACCCACAAATATAGCAGTGATTAAGTATTGGGGAAAGAGAGATGAGGATTTAATTCTTGCTATTAATGATAGTATTAGTGTTACCCTTGATCCTGCTCATCTTTGTACCACTACAACTGTTGCTGTTAGTCCTGCTTTCAATCAAGATCGCATGTGGCTCAATGGAAAGGTAATCTTTTTTCACTTGATCAGTCTATTTTTTTGTAAAATTTGATGGGTATTTGTTTTTTAAATTTTGTTTGGGTTGATTTGTGTGGAAAATAGATTGGTTGGCTGCTCATATGTTCAGAAAGTTCAGTTTTTGATGAGGAAAACTGATAATCTCTCTGTGTATATGTTTTAGTAATTTTTTAAAAAATTTGATGAGTATTTGTTAATTTTTTCTGTGTTGATTTGTGTAAAAGAAGCTGTTTTGGCAGCTCAGGTCTTGTGAAAGTTCAGTTCTTGATTAGTACAACAACAACAACCCAGTATAATCCCACTTAGTGGGGTCGGGGAGGGTAGTGTGTACGCACACCTTACCCCTACCCAGGGTAGAGAGGCTGTTTCCAAATAGAACTCCGGCATCCTTCCCTCCAAGAACTTCCCACCTTGCTCTTAGGGATCACAACCTCTTGGTTGGAAGTGGAGGTTGCTTACCATCAGAGCAACCCCTCTTGTCTGAGTAAAAATGATAATTTCTCAGATTTAATAAAAAAATGATGACTATATGATTTCGAAATATTTGATGGGTATTTTTTTTTTTTTTTTGTAATTTGTATGAAAGAAAACTGTTTTTGAAGCTCAGGTATTGAGAAAGTTTAGTTCTTGATGAGTGAAACTAATAATTTCTCATTGTATTTAACACACAAAAAAAGGACTACATGCTTTTGTGATTTTGTGTGGCTCAATGGGAAGGTAAATTTTTTTCACTTGCTCAGTGTAATTTTTTGGAAAAAAATTGATTGGAATTTGTATTTCTGTAATTTTTTTGGGTTGATTTGCATGAAAGAAACTGTTTTGGCAGCTCAGATGTTGAGAAAGTTCAGTTCTTTGATGAGTGAAACTGATAATTTCTTAGTGTATTATTTAACTGGAAAATGATGACTATGTTTTTATAATTCTGTGTGGCTCAATGGAAAGGTAAATTCTTTTCACTTTCTCATGTAAATATTTTTAAAACTTTTGATGGGTATTTGTACTTTTGTAATTTTCTTTGGGCTGATTTGTATGAAAGAAACTATTTTCGCAGCTCAGATGTTGAGATAGTTCAGTTCTTGATGATTAAAAGCTTATATTTTTCTCAGTGTATTTAATTGATTTTTTTTTTTTTAAAATGATGACTATACATTCTTGTGATTTTGTGTCGTTCAGTGAAAAGGTAAATTCTTTTTCACTTTTTCAATGTTAAATTTATACAAAATTTGATGGGTATTTGCTTTTTAATTTTGTTTGGGTTGATTTATGTGAAAGAAAACTGTTTGGCAGCTCAGATGTTGAGAAAGTTCAGTTCTTGATGAGTAAAACTATAATTTCTCAATGTATTTTATTAAAAAGAATGATAACTATGTGTTTTTATTATTTTATGTGGGTCGATAACGTGAAAGAAGACTGTTTTTGAAGCTAAGATGTCTTAAAATTTTGGTTCTTGAAGAGTAGAAATTTCTTATTTCCTCAGTGTAAGTTTATTGAAAGATTGAATAAGCTTTTGTTTTTGTAATTTTATACGTGGTTGATTTATGTGAAAAAAGGCTGTATTGGCAGCTCAGATGTTGGAAAGTTCAATTCCGGAAGAGTAAAACATTCTCATTTTCTAGGTGTATTCGTTTTTCAATCCGATGAGTACTTATTCATACAATATTATATGGGTTGATTTAATGTGAAGGAAGACTGTTTGGGCAGCTGTAATATTGGGGAACTTTTAGTTCTTGATGAGTAAAATTTCTCATTTTCTTAGTGTAAGTTTCATTTTAAAAGTTTGGGTGAGTTGTAATTTCTTGTGGGCCGATTTATGTGAAAGAAGATTGTTTTGCAGCTCAGATGCTGGTAAAGTTCAGATATTGAAGAGTAATATGTTTTAATTTCTTGAGTTGAGTTTATTAAGTTTAATGGGGATTGATCTTTTCCAAGGAAGAGCATTTTGGAAGCTCAGATAGTGGATTCTTACCTGCACGATCGTATGCTCTTATGTTATGAGAGCATCAGCTATGTGTTCTTTTCGCTGTGTGTGATTACATGTAGTGGAATCAAGGGGGTTCAGAAAACGTTTAGGGAACTGAGCTCCCTATTTCATCCTTCCCGCGCTAAGTAGATTGAATCATATCAAATCTTTGCACCTTTTGGTCATTCTTTGTTAATTTTCTACATTATATGGAGTGAGATTTCGTGGGAGGATGCAATTCTAGTTTAATAATGGGTCAAATATTGGTTATCTTCTCTGGTTTTGCTGCGGAAATTTGTAAAGATAGTCCTGAGGAAAATAGATATGAAACAATACAATTCATTTCTGTGCAATCTTAGAAAGCTGAGCTCATTAGATTTATTCCTTTCCCTCTTTTTTTCAGCAAGGAGAAAGAACCTTATGTTGTGGATTCTTATATCTGGATCTTGACACTTTTATATTCATTTTTGCTCATTGTGCAGGAAATATCCCTCTCCGGAGGCAGATACCAAAACTGTCTTAGAGAAATTCGAGCTCGTGCTAGTGACGTTGAGGATGAGAATAAGGGTATCAAGATCGCGAAAAAGGATTGGCAGAACCTGCATGTGCATATTGTTTCTTACAATAATTTTCCTACTGCTGCCGGTTTGGCTTCCTCGGCTGCTGGTTTTGCTTGCCTAGGTATGATTGACAATTTCTTAACTTCTCTTTTTGATAACCAAGAAATCCCCGAAGCACAATGAACACGGTTTGACACTCGGTCAAGCATGGGCTTGCCCCTCTACCTTCTCCCCTCAGATATCATGCTTTTGTATAGTAATCAACAATAAAATTCTTAAGAAGGCTGACTTAATCTTCAATTCACAAATTTCATAATGAACTTTTATTATCTTTATAGACAAGGGCCGAAGAAGATAACACACAAGCAGAAGCTCCATCTCAACGCAGTCATGAACATGCATATGTAATATAGATTGGCAACCATGGATAACTCTTACCACTAACTCACCACCAACATGGATACAAAATAAGGCAACATTCACTAGAACCCAAGAAGCTCAAATGAATAGATAAATGCACTACCTTATCAGCAACTTCATTCTTTTAAAGGCCACTTACAAGATATAAAAGTTACACAACATAGTTTTCGTTACCGGAAAAGGAGCAATGTTAGAAAGAAGTTGATTTGCAATTTGCATCAAGTGAAGCTCACATTACTTGGGTCACTATATAATATGCATGAATAGAAAATGGTAACATAGATCATCTTGTAAAAGAAAGAGCGTGGACAAAAAAAGCTTACACTTTCCATCTAAGTTGCTTGCACTATTCACTTCGGTGTCGTACCCGTGTCAACACAAGTGTGGGTGTGGGATCCTGTACCGGATCTGATCATTCGATTTTGGGTACTTAGACTAAGATTGACAGAGAAATTCAAAATAGATATAATAATTTCTGAAATCAATACAAAAGCTAGGGTGAAATTGAAAAAAATGGAATACCTTTTATATAAAAATTTCTATGTCCGTCCTTATACTTTTATCTCTTTCTCGGATTCTTCTCTTGATCAATATTTCTCCTTCTAGGACTACCTAATAAGTTTTTCTCATAATGTATCATAATTTAGACATATTTTTATAACTGTATTTTTAGATATTTGAATTACTTCTCGAATCTACATATCCGGATCCGTACCACCGAATCATAAAGGACCTGACCTCTAGATCCTCACTCGTATCGGATACCCACGCCCGAGTCCCAGCAACTTAGCTTTCCATTAACTAAATAATCTATCAAGGGTTTGGAACTATTTTCCTTGCCAAGCAACATGATATGTTACTGATCGTAGAACCTAAGGTCATGTTACAAGCTAAAAACAATACATGCAACACTTCAGAAGATATCCAATAAACGGGAAAAAGTACCAAAATTATGGAACACTCCAGAAAAAGGCAAGATCTTTGATGTTTGCCGGTTGAAGTCAGATATTAGATTTAGCAACTAAAGCATCAACAAAATATCCAGCATTATATACTTAAAGAAACAAATTACTTTCAAATATTATAAACCACACAAAATGCTTATGCACTGGAAAATAAAGTAAATTACACAGTTAGATCAGATTCCAACACGTGTAATATGTCTGTACATTATACTACATGAACACTATGCAAGTCCATGCAGAAAAGAATTTTCTAAAACTCTTGAACGGAGTACTCCAATTACTTTTCAAGGTTAATTTATGACCTTCAACTAACTTATGTCTCCTATATGCAGTTTTCTCCCTTGCAAAATTGATGAATGTGCAAGAGGACAACGGGAAGCTTTCTGCCATAGCACGGTAATTCATATCGGTCGTGAATATTTCCTTTAACTGGTTTTGTTTTTCTATATTTCGTGTCAAAAAAGATTAAAATCAGGTTGAGGTTACAACATATAACGCATCTATCTTTCTCTATTCCACTGCCCATTCAATAACTTAAATAAATAATCAATGTGACAAACTTCATTAATTCACGCACAGGCAAGGTTCGGGAAGTGCTTGTCGAAGTTTGTATGGAGGATTCGTCAAGTGGATCATGGGAAAAGTATGTCGAGCTCCTAACTTCGTGTTGTAACATCTCCCGCCATGTATTATATCTTTTTTAGTCTTTTTTCTAATTTTTTCCCAACGTATAAAGGAGGAAAATGGTAGCGATAGCATTGCTGTTCAGCTTGTAGACGAAAAGCACTGGGATGAGCTTGTTATCATCATTGCAGTGGTATGTACTTTCCATCCAAATTATGATTGTTTTAGGAAAACTCAGCAATTTATATGTTATTGCTAGGCAGTGAGAAGGGAGAAAAAATTTGTCTGTCTCTCCTATCCGGATTCGAAAATATCAAATGGAAAAAGTATATAAGGCTCAAAAACTTATGTATAACTAGTAAATACTCACACTATAAGATTAAAAATTAAATTATATACAAGTTAAGAATTTCACATATTCAAGTTAGTCATTTGTGTCAATACATTACCTTGGTTTTTGTTGTCAAAAAGCTTATTGGCAGATATGAAGATTTGAGTAGGCTAATACAAAGTTTTAAAATATGATAAAGTTATACCATTGTAAATTTGAAAAGATGAAATAATAACTTAAAAACTTGAAAGTAGATCCATTACATTTCTAATGTCATGACCATGCAAGGAAATAACGATGTTTTTAAAATTTTGGAACTTCTTAACAAAGATAGTAGTGTTCTTATAGTAAATAGTTTTGTATTAAATAAAAAGTTCAAATGATGAATACCAAAAAATATGAAGTTTTTTAATGATATAATTGTAATTACAATTTTATCCAATACGTAATACACCTATGAAAGATAGAAAATTTGATCAACATGTTGTATTGAAGTTTCGTGCTCTATATAATAGTATAAATAATATGCATTTCTTATAGTTACAAAATTATAAATATTATATAATTGTTTTTATAATTGCTTCATCAGTAAACTATGTATAACTTTTATATTTAACATAAATAAGAGATTTCAATTTTTTTAGATTTGGTTGAGGTTGTTCAAATGAGTGAGTAAATTAAGTTAAGTTTCTATTAATTTGTAAATATACCTACCCCATATTCTAGTTTTTCCTTTTTTCACGTACATTCATTCTGTTTGCATTTTCCTGGTTATGACGATTTCATTTTTTAATTTCAACTCGATTTTTCTGAATAAACTGTCTCTATTTCTCATTAAAAGAAATATATGGAGGAATTAATTCTTGAAAAGATTAATTTATAGCTTTGTATCTCAAAGAGTTAGAAGAGTGAACTTTAAATAAAAATATACATAAATTTATTAAAAAAGAATATGACATCTTATTTAAATTTTGGCTTTTGGCACCGATTTTATTGAGCTGGCCTGAAATCTTTCTAATTTCAAATTTTGGTTTTGTTGTTTCTATTTTCCAAGATTTTGCAAGACTTTTTGTAAGTGGTTATATACATTTCCATCATCAGAAAAGCTAAGTAAAATGAATTTGTCAATTTGCAGTGCATAAATCTTAGCTCCATGACAAAAAAAAAAAAAAAAAAAAAAAACACGGGGAGAAGAATTTGGAAAAGTAGGAACAACCAACACTACTTAACTTTGCCTTTTTTATTTCTCCTCATGCTGTCTTGTTCTACTTTTCCTAGGATGATACTTGCATGTGCATTACTTTTGTGCATTTGTGATATCTAGAATAATATGTGGAACAGAAACCTAACTTAGCCCATTGGAACTGCACTCCTTGAGACCTAAAAATAGGAATATCTTTGTCGGAAATAAGGTTGTAGAGAAGAACTTGGTTTCTATTATTATTCTTCTGACGAGCCCCTTCTTGTAATGAGTCTCTGATTCAAGTTTTAGATATTTGAAAACCCCTTCTTTTAGAAATACCCAGTTCCGTTAACGTGAGTCAATAGTGCTATACTGGGAAGTGGGAAATTGAAAGGGAAAAAGAAAGAATATTCTGCTTTTATTTCCTGCTAACTAATCTAGAACTTTAACTGCCACATATTTGTGTACTTGTACGTGCTCTACAGTTTTTATTTCTTTCTTTCCAAATGGAAATCTTTTTTTTTTTTTGAAATGGTAACATATTTCATTAAAAATTGAACTTAGCACAAAGATAGTGCTAATGGAAACAGACCCTAGTTACAAGACTTCCAGAAAGACAAAAACAAGGCAAATCTTATTGCTACTGTACTTCCAACTTCGCACTTGTAACTGACTCCTAGTTCTCCAATACCAACGTTAAGCTGCTTCAGTAACTCATTATTCTTGATAATAAATTAATGAAGTTTAATCAATTGAATTACACAAGCGTTGCTCATTGGAATAACTTTTGGGTGCATTTTTTGTTTTCAGCTCCACAAAATAAACAGGATTCTGAACTTGCATCATCTTCTAAAATAAGATGTGTGCATAAATGATGATGCAATCAGTTTGATTGTGCACTAACTAGTCGACTTGTGCCTTTTGATCTTTCTCCCTTTAATATTTTCTATTACGTGACGTACTTCAGGTGAGCTCACGGCAGAAGGAAACAAGTAGTACCTCAGGAATGCGTGATACTGTTGAAACCAGTGCACTTATAGAACACAGGGCAAAGGTATTCCTTGTACTCTTGATTACATTTGAATTTTGCTGCTTGACACATCTTCAAACAATATTCTAAAATATCTCCAGCTTATTTTCATTAGTTCTTTTAATTGGTAACGTTGTATCAGATGTTTGACTTTTCATTTGTATTAAATATTGTAGGAAGTAGTACCAAAACGCATTATTCATATGGAAGAAGCTATACAAAATCGTGATTTTCCAACTTTTGCTCAACTGACTTGTGCCGACAGCAACCAATTTCATGCAGTTTGCATGGATACTAGCCCTCCTATATTCTACATGAATGACACATCTCATAGGCAAGTTGTCTTAAATTCAGCCTATAGCTTAAGATGTGTTGTCACGTAATTCTTGTGATCTCTTATACCGAAAGTGGGAGAAACAAGTTTTGATGGTGTGTTAACTTTTCAGGGTAATTGGCTGTGTTGAGAAATGGAACCGTTCAGAAGGAACTCCACAGGTTTTCTACCTTACCATGCTCTTGTTCTAATAGCTAATTGCATGATCTGGTTATTCTTCTCTTATACTGAAGTAATAGAACGGGTCACCAAAGTTTGAGTGTGTAAGTGACTTTCTGGGACAAGTTCAGGATGCAACATATGTAATTTCCATTTTCTGGAGACTTGTCTTTTTTTTAATATTCGTAACGGGTAGTGACTGCTTCCTTCATACCTCTCTCCCCAAACTTCGTGCACCTTTCTGTGTTGAAGATTCTGCTAACTCATGATGCATCCAAATATTGAAATTTTCCGCTTTTGAGCTGGTTTTGACGCTATAACAAGCAACTTTCGGACTTATCTCAAACCTTTTTAAACTCTGATTGACAATTCAATATCAGGCTAGTTAGCCTTATTGCTGACTATTATTTCAGTTCACATTTCGCTTTCTCCTGCAAGTTTGATGTCAAAAGTAGGTGTAATCTAGCAAGAATAAATGCATATTCCATTTTTAGTAAACATAAGAATGTTTGCAGGTTGCATACACCTTCGATGCTGGACCAAATGCTGTTCTAATTGCACGTAACAGAAAGGCTGCCACACTTATGCTTCAGAGGCTTCTCTTCCACTTCCCTCCAAATTCAGATACTGATCTAAACAGGTACGTGTTCCATCTAAAAGATTCAAAGTTCTAATGTAAGTACGAAGGAAGTGATTTTCGAGAAAATATTTTTCGGGAAATAACTTATTTTTTTTTAGAAAATATTGGAAAATATTTTCCGGTATTTGGTTTGAGAACGGAAAAGTATTTTGCAAAAAAACATTTATTAAAGATTGACAATAATATTAACAAACCTATAACGGTTTGACGAAATTCTGAGAATTAAAGATTGATTATAATGTCTAAGTGCTAGTTAAAGCGGTGATATAAAGTTACGAATTGAGGTAATTGTGAAGGAATATGATTTATGCAGAAAAGTAATGGAAAATATTTTCCCTAGAAAGTATTTTCTGGAAACCAAACACTAGAAAATAAAATATTTTCCTCTGTACCAACACACCCCGCCATCAGGGGGTACGTAAGAATTTTTGTAAGTGGTGTCGAAATTTATAGAAGAAGGGAATAATAACTTTAATTATCATACTTCTAGCCAAGAAATAGTCTTAGTTAATTGGTTTTGTTGAGTCAAGTAAAAATGATCATGAGTTCAATTCTACTTCATCACAATTTTTAACCACAGAGGATCTCTCAAATATTTGCAAAAAATGTGCTAGTTGAGGTTTGAACCTTTGATCTCTTAGAGCAAAATCAAGTACATAACCAACACATCAAAAGACAATTTATGTTAAGTGGTCATTTTTTCCTACTTATCTGTTTCCTCACAGTATTAATACATATATTTAATAAAAAATTTCGACGAAGCGATGTCACGTGATACTGCTTTGTTAAGCGTGCATCCAACCCTGTCCGCCATGATATGCATTCTGGACCTTGTGTTATCAACATGCAACCAAACCATCTTCACTGCTCCTCATTGTTCTTTTTCCCTTCTCTCCAGCTATGTCATAGGCGATAAGTCAATTCTGAAGGATGCTGGGATTCAGGACATAAAGGATGTGGAAGCATTGCCGCCTCCACCTGAAATTAAGGACAAAGTTCCAGCTCAGAAATACAAGGGTGAAATTAGCTACTTCATCTGCACAAGACCAGGTAGAGGTCCAGTTTTGCTGACGGACGATAGCCATGCTCTCCTCAATCCAGAAACTGGACTGCCCAAGTAAAAGATCAATTTTTTTTCTTTTTTTCGTACGAATGTGCTTAGTTCTCGGGGCAACTCTAAGTCTTGAGATCCAAGTGTTGCAGCCTCTTTAGCCTTTAAACGGTGGAGGCTGCTGCCATTTTAAACTGGTTTTAGTTTGGATGAAATTTGAATTCAAAGCTTTTGTTTGTAGCTTGGGCTCCTGTATTGTTTTTCAGTTGAATTAGCTGTGTACTCTTTCATCTTTGAGCAATGAAATAAAAGTCTTCAAAGTTGCTTCTTTTACGCTTTTAGAGAATCACATACTCATATGAAGTCCAAGCAGCTTTATATTTGATTAATTTTGTGCGATAGGATTGACGTATTTTCACTTCCACTCGTAAACAACAACAACCACCCAGTGAAATTTCACTTGTGAAATTTGGAAAGGATAGTGTGTACCTAGATCTTACCCCTACCCTGAAGGATAAAGAGATTGTTTTCGATTGACCTTTGGCTCAAGAAGACGAAAATAGACAATAGATAGGTAGCGGCAACAGAAAGCAGAAAAAAATAGACAATAGATAGGTAGCGGCAACAGAAAGCAGAAAAATAATAACAGCATCGTAAGAGCCCGAAAATAGATGGAAAAGCAATAACCAGTAATAAAAGTACAGTACTATGAAAAAAGGAAAAATAGTGAACACTACATTAACCACTAGCAGTCTGAGACAAAACACTATCAGACTAACCTCACACCCGGTACGAAATAGAAAAACGCTCAATTACCTTCTAACCTTCAACCCGAATGCTTGACCTCCACATCTTCCTATTAAGGGTCATGTCCTCGGAAATTTGAAGTCGCGTCATGTCCTGCCTGATCACCTTTCCCCAATTCTTCTTAAGCCGTCCTTTACCTCTTCTCATACTCGCCAAAGCCAACCACTCACACTTCCACTCGTAAACAAAATAAAAAATTTAAGAGCTAAACACCCCAAGTCAAAGTGTTAATTAATATCATATAGAGAAAATGATCAAAATGGTCCTTAATGTATCGAGGTTGAACTATTCTAGTTCGTAATATGTACTTCTTAACCGATATAGTCCTTAATGTATCAAAAAGTGGACATCTTATATCCTAAATCCTAAAACTAACGGTAAAGGTCAAACAAGGCTGTAAACTACATTCGCACAAATATAGTACATTAAACAAAGTTAATTTTTGAAAACAGAAGAAGAAAGACAAAGTTAATTTTACTCCACTTACAAATTGATATGTGTGTTTGTAATTAATAATAATATTACAGAGTAGGACTAGGGAGTACTCCTAATCTATAAAATTAGTGGGATTTCACATTCAGTAAAGCTAACTTATTAATCTTAGGCATGTCCTTATCATGTATCACTTACCTTTTCAGAGGTTTTTTATGAGGCATTGACTTGTCATCTTTGTTCTTATTGGTATGATATTATACCGTAATTCTGGCATCACTTTAACCAGATCAAAGATGAGACAATGTATTTATACAGAGATAAAGCACCTAAAAGACTAAAATAACCTTGATTTTTCTTTCTATACTTAAAATGAGGGTAAATTTGTAAACTTTTTCGCTGGAATAGACTAGAGGCCTAAGATTTATAGAAGAAACAAGAGTTGAAAAATGAGTTATTTGAAGTTAAAGTTAGGAAAAAATTGCGTGGGGGAGATGAGTTTTTGGCCAATATTGTCACTTATCTTTGAGAGTAGGTCTATTTTGGTCCCTTAAATATAATCCTGAGCATATTTAATCCCTTAAGTATGCTAAAGTAGAACACCTTTACTCTCACTGACACAGTGTGTTCAAAAACTAACGGTGTTACCCAACTCTGATTCATGAAGCAAATCTTCTGCTCTGAAGCAAAACGTTTCCTCTCCGTTTATTGGATAACGCAAATTATCACTTTAATTTCTCATTTTTAGATAGTATCTTCTAAAATTTTGACCTTGAAAATATCCCCTTCTGTACCAGTTTCAATGAGAAAATGACATTGTATAGCCGATACAAATTTTATATACTTTTTCGGCTACCAGATGTAAATAGTTTCTAGCACGAGCTAAAAGTGATAATACAACCTGGTTATTCGTTTGCTTCAATAATATGCCTAGAAGTGATCATGGCAGCTCTATTTTTTTTTTAAATTTTAGCTTTCCTTTTTGGAAAAATCAACTGTAATTTTATATATATAATTTATATATTTTTTCGTCTATTATTTTTACAGCGGCTATACAATGTCATTTTCTCATTGAAAACCGGCACAGAAGACGGGGATATTTTCAAGGTCAAAAATTTGGAAGATATTATCTAAAAATGAGAAATTAAAGTGATAGTTTGCGTTATCCAATAAAAGGAGAGGAAATATTTTGCTTCAGAGCAGAAGCTTTGTTTCATGAATCAGAGTTGGATAACATCGTTAGTTTTTGAACACATTGTGTCAGTGAAACTAAATGTGTTCCACTTTAGTATACTTAAGGGATTAAATATGATCAGGATTATATTTAAGGGTGTATACGGTCAAAATCAGATATGCCCGATTTCGTGGGCTCGAAGAGTCGCCTCGAGCCCAAGTTCAAAATGGACCGAGCTCGTTTAACTTTATTGTTCTTACTGACCCAGCTCGAGGCCATCTTAGCTCGAGGTCAAGACTTGCTTGCACACTGGTTTGATTCAACTTACTTCTTTAATTTATATGTTTGATTTCTTTATTATCAGTTAGTATTGGACTAAATCACGTATCTTTAAGACCTCAATATAAACTTAATTGTTACTCGAATTTTAGAGGTAAAAAGTTTGGCGCCCACCGTGGGGCTAAAGATAATAGTAATTATTTTAGTACTGATTATGATAACATACGTTATTTTCACACTTGTTCTTGTCAAAGATTTTTTTTCTTAGGTTAAAACATGTCAAACTCATAAAACGCACTCGTACATGGTGATGATGGTCTTGGATTTCATGGGGAAAATGGTAACATAATTGCTCCAGGAGTCGGGGTACCACCGATTAACCCTGAGGAAGTGCCTGTTGCTGACCCAGTTGACGTCAGTTCACACATTGCTCTGAACGCAGATTAGGGCGTGGACCCCGGAGGGAGTGTGCTCAGGGAAGGCCGAACTGGTAGCCAAAAAACTCAGGGCATAGGATACGGGAGAGTTAGTCTCCATATAATATTTGAGATGTTACAAGCCCAACAAGCCGCTATTTCTCAACTTCAGAGTCAACACAAAACTCCGAGTGTGGTCGAGCCGGAAAACACTTGTCGTACCGAGCTAGTGCCGGAAAGAACGAATGGTAGAGGATTGTGAGTTGACCCCATGATTATGAAAACGCTCGAGGAGCTCACCAAAAGAATTGAGTCAGGAGAAAAGAAGATCGAAGATAATGACAAAAAAATGGAAACATACAACTCCCGAGTTGATGAGATACTAGGGGCACCCCCGATCTTAAAAGGTTTAGATTCAAAAAAGTTCGTGCAGAAGCCTTTTCCTCAGAGTGCGGCTCCGAAGCCTATTCTAAAGAAGTTCCGCATGCTGGACATACCGAAATACAACGGGACCACCAATCCTAATGAACATATCACTACCTACACATGCGGGATAAAGGGAAATGACTTAGAAGACAATGAGATCGAGTCCGTTCTGTTGAAAATTTTTGGGGAAACTATATTAAAGGGAGCAATGATTTGGTATCACAAATTGCCACTGAATTCTATCGATTCATTCGCCATGTTAGCAGATTCTTTTGTAAAGGCGCATGCCGGGGCCATAAAGGTTTCCACAAGAAAATCGGATGTTTTCAAGATAAGGCAAAGGGATAACGAAATGCCGAGGGAGTTCGTGGCCCAATTTCAAATAGAACGCATGGAGTTACCACCGGTCTCAGATGATTGGGCCGTTCAAGCTTTCACCCAGGGGTTAAACGATCGGAGTTCGATAGCATCACGTCAGTTGAAGCAAAATTTGATTGAGTATCCAGTTGTAACTGGGGCAGATGTACACAATCGATATCAATCGAAGATCAGGGTCGAGGACGACCAGTTAGGAGCCCCTACGGGTTCAATTCATCCAAACAAGTTGGTAGTGAAAGCCTCGAGGGATACTGACAGGGAACCGAGGTCGAACAAGGAACGATATCAACCATATACCACAGATCGAAAGAACAATGACTCGGGACGCATCCATCCCAGAATGATCGGAGAAACGATCGAGGGCAAAATTCTCGAGAACTTATGAGCAAAAGTGGTTTTGATAAGCATGCCGACCCCGTGGAGGTACCTCGATTATCGTAATATAACTTTAGCATCGACGCAGCAGACATTGTATCAACGATCGGAAGAATCAAGGATACCAGATGGCCCGGACCCATATAAATCGATCCTTCCCAAAGAAACCCAATTTGATGTGTAAGTATCATAGCATGCATGGTCACAAGGCCGAGGATTGCAGGCAATTAAAGGAGGAAATGGCCCGTATATTCAACGAGGTCCATCTTCGAGAGTTCCTTAGTGATCGATCCAAGAATCAGTTCAGAGACAAGGATGCCAACAGGAAGAATGAACTAGAAGAACCACAACATGTCATTCATATGATCGTTGGAGGGTCGATATTCCACAAGGGCCCGTGTTCAAACGCATTAAGGTATCGATTACTAGGGAGAAACGGACTCGGGATTGTGTGCCCGATGGTTCCTTATCATTCAACGACGAAGAAGCGGAAGGAATTTCTCAACCACACAATGACGCTTTGGTAATTTCTATCATGTTAAATAAAGTTCAAGTTAAGCGTGTTTTAGTGGATCCAGGTAGCTCAGCAAACATCATCCGATCGAGGGTCGTGGAGCAGCTCGGCCTACAGGATCAAATAGTGCTCGCAGCTCGGGTCTTAAACGACTTCAACATGGCCAGTGAAACAACAAAAAGGGAGATTCTTCTACCAGTGAACGTGGCCGGAACCATTCAAGATACCAAACTCCACGTGATCAAGGGAGACATAAGATACAATTCCCTACTCGAAAGGCCATGGATTCACAACATGAAGGCGGTTCCTTCAACTCTCCACCAAATGATGAAATTCCCGACATTTGACGATGTGAAAACAGTGTTCGGGGAGAAGCATGCGGCAAAGGAAATGTTTGCAGTTGATGAGGTGGTATCAGTATCGACTTTATCAACTTCGAAGAGGTCGAGCATCAAAGTCAAACATAAAACCAAATAGCAATCAGAGCCACTAACCTCGACGGATTCGGGAAAGCAGGAGGAAGAAGAAGA